AGTCCAGCTTGGAGGGGAGGGGGCTTCCCCAGCCAAGTCCCTGAGCCCCAATCAAGGGCTTCTTGGGAACAGCCTGGGAATCGCTGGGGCCTGGGCACAGACACAGGGAACAGAGCAGCAAGGGCTGGCACTGGTCAGAGCCACAAAGCAGGATGGGACAGCTGCCACTGGACTCATGTCTTGGTGCTGGGTTGGAGCTGCTGCCGGGAGTGAGCTAGCGGGGACAGGCAGGGGCTGCAGGTCAGGAGTGAGGGGCACCAGGGGGACAGCTGTGAGCTGAGGGTGAGAGGCAAGGACAGGGGCAGGGCATGGGCATATCAATGCTGGTCAGTGCCCCACATCCTGAAGAGTAAAGGGGGCAGGGACAGCTCTGATTTTTCTAAGACAAAAAAAACAAAAGCAAATGCCAAAGTGTATAGATATTTAGAATTCATTTTATTATGATGATAGAGGCACTTGTAGGCTTCCAAACTGCTTTAAAATTGTAAATATATCAATAAAACTTTGCCCAACTGACCTCTCTCTATATAGTGGCATTTCATTTTAATCACAGAACACAGATTTTGGGTTCTTTAATGAGAGAATTTGAGTTCTTTATCAGAACATTTGCAGTTTTTAAATGGGGAACACCAGGATCTCTGCTCGTGAAGCAAGTGGTAAGACCTGGGCAAAGGAACCTGTCCCAGGCCAGCACTGGGGACCCAGCTGGAGGGCAGACGAGGTAGGTGACCTGGCCATTTGGGGCCAAAAGGACACACTGTGATAGTTCAAAGTGGGCCACCACAATGAGCACATCTTCTGAGCGGTAGCTGCCCAGATGGCAGGGTGAGGGCACCAGAAGACATGACAGCAGTTTCACACAAAGGCCAATTGTGCAGTCACAGCCCACTGGCAGCTGGCCCAAAGGTGTAGGAGGCTCTGCTGTGGTGTTCATACCACAGCCCAGGCAGCTGTGTGGTCCCTGTCTGGGTCTGGCAGACATGTAGGTGTGCCACTGCTAATTGTCCCCAGGGAACTAAACGTAAGGGCTGTACAAAATTTCTCCAGCTGTTCTGTTTTGATGCCGTTTTGACTTGTTTTGAGCTCGAATCAGTGACATCAAAACCAAACGAAGGGCTTTGAAACAGCTTTGAAATTAAACAAGGGCAGTCAAAATGTTTCAAAAGTTTCAAAACATTTCAAGTTTTGAAGCTCAAGCTGGGCTTGCCTGCAGGGAAACAGAAAGTATATAAGGTGTGTGCATCAGGATCTGGGAGAACAGCTGTTCACCAGGGCTCCCGAAGAGATAACTAGGTCTAATGGCCACAAATTCTAGAAGGCCGATTCAGACTCAATATAAGGAAAAACTTCTTATATACTTATAGGCAGCCACCAAGTCCCCCCTGAGCCTACTCTTCACCAGGCTGAAGAGTTCCATGTCCCTCGGCCCTTCCTCATAAGGCTTACTCTCTTGGCCTTTCGTCATACAGGTGGATCGCCTCTGGACTCTCTTGAGCTTTTTCAAGTCCCTCCTGAAGTGAGGGGCCCAAAACTGGATGCAGTACTCCAGCTGCTGCCTCGCTGAGGCCGAGTAAAGCTGGAGGATGACGTCCCTGGTTTTGCTTGAGATGCGTTGGTGGATGCATGCCAGAGTGTAGTTTACTTTACTGGCCATGGCACCACATTGGTAGCTCATGTTCACCTTGTGGTTAATCAAGACCCCCAAGTCTCTTTTGGTCGCGGTGTTAGTGAGCATATCACTGCCAGGCCTATAAGTAGGGTGCTGTTTTTTTCTTCCAAGGTGGAGTACCCTGCATTTGCCTACTTTGAATGCCATCAGGTTTGGTCCACCCACTTTGCAAGCATGTCCAGGTCAGCCTGTATCCCCAGCCTGCCCTCCAGCATAATTGCCTTTCCTTATAGTTTAATGTCGTCAGTGAATTTTGCCAGTCTGCATCTGACACTCTAATCCAGATAATTAATGAATATATTTAAGAGTACTGGCCTGAGCAATGAACCTTGGGGGACTCCACTGGTAACATTGTGCCACATTGATTTGTTCCCATCAACTAGTACCCTTTGGGTCTGACCCCAGAGCCAGTTCCCCAGCTATCGGACCATAAGATGGTCGAGGCCACAGTTACGCAGCTTGGTCATGAGGACAACACGGGAGACCAAGTCAAAGGCCTTCTTGAAATCCAAATAAATGACATCAACCTCGTCTTCCTTCTCCAGGCAATGCATCACCTGGTCATAGAAGGAGATGAGGATGGTCAGGCAGGACCTTCCAGTAATAAAACCATGTTGGCTGGCATTGAGTAGGTTGCCTTCCATTATCCTGTTGCAGATGGATCCCTTGATAATTTTCTCCAGGATCTTTCCAGGGATGGAAATCAGACTGATAGGTCTGTAATTCCCTGGATATTCCTTTCTCCCTTTCTTGAAGATTGGGACAACGTTGGCTCTTTTTCAGTCTTCTGGTACATCACCCAAGCACCTCAAGCTTTCAGATATCTTGGCCATAGGGCATGCTATGATGTCTGCCAGCTCTTTTAAGACTCTCTAGTGCAATCCACCTGGGCCAATGGACTTATGGATGTCAAGCCTCTTGAGGTGTTCTCTCATTTAATCTATGTCAATTGTAGGCCCATCTCCCGAGCCTTGGATGCTTTGTGTCCTGTCTGACGGCATGACTCCCTTGGGCGAATGGAAAACTGATGCAAATAATTCTTTAGGAGATTGGCCTTTTCTTGGGCATCAGATGTCAGCTGCCCTATTTGATCTCACAGGGGGTCAATGTTGCTTTTATTCTTACTCTGACTTCCCACATATCTGAAGAATTACTTTTTGTTATCTTGATTCCGGTGGCTAGCCTGAGTTTGGTTACTGCTTTGGCTTTTCTGGACCACTTTCTATAGGTACGGGCTAATGCTGAGTTGTCCTCCTTGGTGATGATTCCAGTTTTCCATCTGGTATAGGCTTCTCTTTTAAGTTTCAGGAGACCCATAAGTTCCCTGTTGCACCAAGGGGGCTTCCCTGCCCTCTGACTGCATTTCCTGTGGGATGGGGTGGACTTCCCTTGTGCCTTGAGGATTGAGTTCTTTAGGAACAACCATTCCTCATGGACTCCTTTTCCTAGGGGGCCATGGTCCCTTAGTGCCTGACTGACCAGTCTCCTGAGTTTGTGAAAGTCAGCCTTCTCAAAGTTGAGGATTTCTGTTTTACTGAGGGATTTGCCCACCCTGCGTTGGACAGAGAAAGTAATCAGTTCATGGTCGCTGTCACTAAGCTTGTCCTCGATCCTCAGATCACTCACCAGATCATTCCCTTTGGCCAGAACCAAATCCAGCAGTGCCTCTCCCGTAGTTGGCACATAGACCTCTTGCGTCAGGTACAAGTCATCAATGCAGGCAAGAAAGTTACATGACCAGTCAGACTTGGCCGTTGCTCTTCCCACAAGATGTCTGGGAGGTTGAAGTCTCTCATGACGATCATACATTGGGAACATGCAGCCTTGGCCAGTTCCCTATTCAATTTGAGATCCAGTTCTTCTTTATTAGGAGATCTGTAATAGACTCCTATGAGTATATCCCCTTCCCCATGCTTCCCCCGTATTTTAACCAAGAGGGTCTCAAGGCACCCTCGATGGTTAATGAACCAGTTTGAAGGGAAGTGTACTGCTCTTTGACGCAGAGAGCTGCACCCCAACCCTTCTTCCCAACATAATTGATATTGATCCTCCCAATATCCTTGCATGAAAGGGATATACACTATCCTCAGCTTATAATTGGGAAGCTAAAAACAAAAACTTGCCTAAATCCAAACCAAAGTGTGCGGGCCACCTCCCGAACCCATCCATGTCACCATGAGCGGGCTGGGAGCGGTGTGCGGACCCGTTTTTGTGCATGCGGACTGTGGCCAGCAGCCCGGGCACGCGGGGTCGGAGAGAGACCCGTGGGATCTGGAATTAGGCACGGACGCGTAATTGTTGATTAAAAGATTGTTTACTTACACCAAAGATGGTTGTGGTGTAGGCTGGACAGTTTTCCAGGCACGGCTCCGCTTAAATCCTCGTTGGAGGACTACGACAAGCTCTCTCACGAAGTTTGCTAGGCTCCGTGGAACTTGTGCTCTGAGGTAGTTCGGTCGTCTGAACAACTATGTCAGTTGTTCCAGCTGAATAGACTCACACGAAGTTTGCTAGGCTCTGTGGGTCTGGTTCCTTTGCGCGCAGGGCGCAGGAAGAGGGATACGTCTAGGATTGCGCTCGGCGACGGGGAGAGGCTAGAGGCCGTTCGGTAATTGGGTCCCCGGAGTTGTAAAGGCTCCGTGGGTTCGGTTCAGTAATTGGCCCTCTATTGCCTTCTTAAGGGAAGAGCTGGGTTCGAAGGAATCAGCAGCGCTTAGAGATCTTCACGCTCTTTCTCCCGAACTCCAATTTGCTTTCTCTCTCCCTCTCCAACTTGGGCGGAAACTACCCAAGCTCTTTATACGGCTAGCAAGCCAATCGCTATCCGCCACGTGTGCATATATTAGGATCGGCCAATACAAATGGCGGGAATTCCTTTGCACCGTGCATCTCCAAGATGCAAAAGAAATGCACCACGCAAAGAAGGCTACAAACTGGCAGGAAATACTCTTCTGCACACGGGTTCTCTTGTTGCAGCAGAAAACTCCACCGTGCAAAGGAGCTGCAATTTAGCAGGAACATAATTTGGCGGTGCTGAAGCGCACACAAACAAAAAACCACAACTTTGGGTTGTGACACAAAGTTATTGGTAGTACCAACTGAATGTTTAGCTCTCAGGTCCCAAGCCTTCACCCTTATCACAGGCCCACATCCCTCTTTCAACTTCCATTTTCAACACAGAATTTAAGAATACTTATGATGTTATAAGAGTTACCATTATGGGTATGGACAAAAACATTTTAGCTGCTTTTAAAGGTTGGTGAGGGAAGTGCAACTGCTCAGGAGGGCATAGGAGCTGTTTCTCTTTACTTGTTACTTGTGCATGAACCCCCAAAGTCCCCCAACTTTGACCCTGAATAAGAAGCTAGTAAAAGCTGTTTCTCTACACTTATACAAGACCAACAGTTGCATTGTACCAGCTTGTTCCAGTATTCTTTGATAACAGCACAATCACTACATCTGTCTATACTCTATGTTGGCCTCAATGTTTTCATTGGCAGTTTCAGAAAGGCTAAGGGCAGACAGCCCCTTCTCTCTTAAGCAAGATTCATCATAACGCTGATACATAGAGGCAAAGAAGTGAGGGAAACATACAGCACTTCTGTTTGTACTATGCGTGCTCATAGAATTAGTTAGGAGAATTCATTCTCAGAAATGCCAATGACCAGTATAAAGAAACAAAAATCAATTTCTTACCATCATAAACATTTTCTGGATATCCCATAGTTTTCCTTAATCTCCTTGATGGGTTTTGTTTTTTTACTGGATAGCGAAGATGGGTCACTAGTCCTTGATTTGGCTTTTGATACTTGTATATTAAATCCTTTAAAGTTTTGAAGGACTGCTGGGGAACACCTCCAGAAGTCTGCAAGAAAAAGTGAAAATACTGATCTATGAAGGTAATAGGAACACAGGACTGGAAGGGGCCTCCCAGACTATTGAGTCCAGTCCCCTGAACCTGCATACTTGTTCAACATGGAAAATTTATCAACACCAGAAACAGGATAAGTTTCAACAAATATTTCAACAGAAAAATGTTTAATGAAAATGTAAAAACTCCTGGAGAATTTTTTGTTTTGTTTATGGAATTAGTCATAGTAATTTATTTCTTTGCTGGGCATCCTTTCCCTTTTATATGAAGTTGCCACTAGTCTGCATAAGTTTTATCTGCATTTACAAAGAGGAAATTTTAATATATTATGACAATGTTATTAGGCACACTATGGAGCATACAAACAGTCCCTGTAGATTCCACTATGATGAAACTGGTATCTCTAACAAGCAAACATTTCAGGAGATCAACAGTCAAGTTCCAGAAAACAGGTCTCCCAAATAGTCCAGTTCATAGGGTTCTCTTTTGTTTATTATTATGAATTCCACTGAAGACTCTGAAGTAGTTATGCCCAGCTCAAGGACAGAATAGAGTGATGGAGTGGATAGGGTTTTTGAGAACTGTAGCGGTGAAGTGAATGCATGGAGTTATTCCCCGATAAAGATATTTCCAAATCACAGGCATGTACAAGTCATCAGATTGGCTTAAAAGTGTATAAATAAATAATTTGGGTCGTCCCCCTCCCGTGTCTTCTAGCATCACAGCCTTTAAGCTGTGCTGTTATTTTGCAACCTGTTCTTTGAAGAACTGAATCTCTTTTTTCTAAATGAAAGCCAGGAGCTGGCATTCTAAGACAAATAATAAACCTCATGGCACTTGTATAAAAACTTTGAGAGCTGGCATAGCAAAACTGGTCCTCAGATAATATGGTTAGCAATCACATCCTTCTTATCTAGGACCTGATTCTATAACAGGAAATAAGTGGAATTATTCAGTAAATACAAATTCTTTTTTTCACAGGCATAACAAACAATTTCTTCACCTTGGACAGCAATGGCCAAGGGGCCACAAGAAGCATCAGGCACTATTCTTGTGGCCCTTCTAAATTAGCACCTAGGGCTGGTGCCCTGCTCACCCACCCCTGGTTACACTACTGCTCTTTTTATTTTATTAAGCCCTTATCCTTTCAGGAGCTCCAGGTAGGCAGACCTCTGTAACTGTAGTGTGTTTTATGCAGAAGCGGGGCCTTAGGAATGATAAATAAATAAATATCCAATTGTATTATTTTAAAAACCAAGAAAGCCCTTGCTTAGAATTCCTCTCAAACAACCGTGAGGACAATTTTGATTTGCATTTATTGCCAAACCTTGGAAAGAAACTCAGTTTAAAAAAATGCTTGAATTACTATTCAGTGGGGGAAGACACAGAAAAAACCTCCAGAAAAGCAGCTGCTGTGATTTAAGAAAGTGAATAACTACAATATTTATTTTTTCAATAAATCATGAAGAAATGGTAATAGAATGTGGCACCTTCCATCTGAAGGTTGCTGACTTGAATCCAAGCTAACATGATAATGATTCAAAGTTGTTATGTTCTGATAGCTTATAGTTACTGGCTTCTGAGAAGCAAATTTGGTGGCCCTATTCCACTTATCTGGGAACAAAGATGTTGCTACAATTGATTCTTATTAATAAACATTCTGGAAGTCTTAGAAGAAACAAGGAAAGGCAGGAAAACATTTTAAGCTGTCCTCTCTCTAGGTCTGGATCAAGGTAAAGTCTGCATAGTATGATAATGTGTAGGCCCTGTCTACCTATTACAGGTGCTGTGCAATTAGCTGGTTAATTGAGCAAGTACCTTGATACCACCTGTGTGTGCAAAATACAAATACATGATAAAAAGCTCCAACCAGCTATAAAGTTAGACCTTGAAAACATGTAGTAACTTTATACCTGGTTGGTATCCAGCTTTAATTTGCAAGTGTAGCAGGGTCTCCCCTCCCTGTCTCAGCTGACAGGGCTCCCAACCCAGGGACACAATGTGCCCAGTCAGGGCTGCAAGTGAGGGGCCCCAGCAGCTGCTAACTGTGGATCCTGGCAGCCAGGAGGGGCACAGCTGCCCTGAAGTATGTGAAACCTCCAGAGCTGGAGAATCATGGCTGCTGCAATCTCCCAGCCTCAGGAGTTTGTGGGGTACCCCCATGGCTGGTAGGCCCTCAATTGAGGAAGCTTCCACCCCTGGAAACTTGTTTCTTGCTGAAATCAGGCTCCCCCTGCACCGGCAATTAGGTGTGATGGGATTTAACACATGATCCCATAATCACCCCTCCTGCCATGCACACGTGGTATGGCAGGAGGCTCAAATGTGTGGACCGTGCATTAGATCCCACCACACCTTTATCTGCATGTATGAGCTAGGGACAGAAGTGACACATAAACTGGTATACATGATCAGTAACCAGTTCAAATCTGTAATACAATAGAAGTTCAGTGCACATCAAAATGGCTGAAACTGGCTTAAGATAAACCGGGATGGATGTAGTATCAGACTTAACTCATTTAGGTTAAATTGGTTTATTGAACTTGTGTCCCAGATCCCCTCCAGATTCAAGTTAACTCACAGTCCCCCAGCATCCCAGGATGCTTTGCACATCCACCGCAACCCCCCTACCTCCTTGCAGGGTGGGCTGGCTAGCCTTGGCCCAAGCTGTCTGCTCCAGCCCAGAAGGGAGGTGTGCTCTAGCACCCACACCTTCTGGCCTGAGCCACTGCAGGCATGTGGCTACATTTCCGGAATCGAAAGCGGCTGTCTGTTCACTTGCTTACTGGTTCAATCTATGCAATTTAGACCAACCTGCAAAGAGTGAATCAATTCAGCCTTGGGCTTTTTGACTTTCTGTATGGAGGCATAGAGGGGCCCATGCTCTTATGCCCCCTCCAATTTTAGGAGCACACAACCAACATAAGTTTCTAGAGTTACCAGTTTTGTACATCTCCAAATGTTCGATTTACCCAGGATTACATGTGAATCTTTTAAAAAAATGACAGGAGTCGTTCCAAAATGCAAAAGCTCTTATGATTGTGCACTAACGCATTTGTTTACAGGTCACTTGACAGTTTTTGGTAAAACAGAAGAGCATTCCAATAGAATGCAGAAAGGAAGGCAGAAGAGAATGCAAAAGATTTTATGCTGTCAAAAAAGGTGGCCAGATCTTTAGATCATGGGTAAGCCAGGCTAAAAGGTGAACAATATGCTTAGGTTACAAAAAAGTGATGTAGAGATAGCAGTTACTTCTAAGCTGATGGGCAAAGACAGGTGTTTTGTTAAGAAATCAAGGGTAGAGTGCAAGCATGGAAAAACATTATCATGGGAAAGATACCAATTGATTCTTATTAATAAACATTCTTTAATATAGGTATCTTCTCATCTGAGAAAGAAATTAAACAGTCATTTCCATTCCAGATGAAATGACATACTCTTACCTCAATCCTCAGATTTCCTTCATGTTCCCTGAAGATCCGATAAGTGTAAATCAGTTTTTCAAAACTGTAAAGAGATATCCTTGCATAAATTATGTTTGTCATCAGCAGTCCAGGAATTGCAATGGTCTGACCTCATTTTAGCGGGAGAATTTACAGTATACACAACAACATCACAAAAAGATTAAAATTCCAGTTTATCAATCTCAAGAAATGACTGTTATTAATAACATGTTGCCATCAACAACTGTGGGCTCATTACATTTTTTGCTAGAGTCTCACTAAATCTTTTCTAGAGTATATAATTTATACAAACAGTAGGTTGGAAAACAGCTAGCCATTTTATTGGTTTAGTTAGGCATCTCAAAACTAAAGACAGAGGCAATTCTGTAACTTAAATCCATCTATGTTATATACACCCATACACTCACACACCTCTTATGAATATACATATGTAACAGGTCTTTAAAAAAGGCACCAAATCTTTTTAAATGGATATTTATAATACCACTATTTCTCAAAATTAAATTTTTAAAATTAAAAGGACCAATTTTGAAATGCCAAAACCTTTAATGCTTAAGGAGAAGGCACTTGTTCACAGGCCTCACCTGTGTCTTTGTTAGAATAACAGAATATTCCTTTGGAAAAGGAAGACTGCTCAGTTTTGGACCCACATTGATTTTACACTTGTTTAATACATTGGAGAGTTATCCAAACTGCCCTGAGACCCTTGTTGATCAGTCTAGAGTTTCAGATGCTAGGATATAAACATCCGTTCTTCTGATGTGGTTGCCTTAGGCCATGATCAGAAAAGTCAAGTGTTACTGAAGTTGAACATATTAAAATAGCATCTCATCTCACAAGAGATCTTGCGGGTGTGAGAGGGTGTGTGTGTTCATATATCTGTTGGATCAGCTGCTGTTTTTTAACCGTGCACACAATGCCACTAAGGCCATATCTGCACTGCAGTCACTGCAGAGATGCCAGGTATATACATAATTGAACTGGTATGAGACAGCTGCAGCAACAAAGAACTCTGTGTGATTACTTGTCCTAGGATTTATCCCATTTTGTCAAGCTTTTTAGCTTGTGGCAAGCTTCATGCAGTTGTGACCACGCTGCCAGCTACTTTAAGGCTTGCTCAGGTAAGTCTATGCAAGCTGAAGCCAGAGCAGGCAATGCAATATAGAAATACACAAAAAACAAGAAAGATTCTATTCCTTATAATACATTTGTGTTACAATAGCACCGCATAACCCTGGATCATGCACTAGGACCTCATTGTGCTAAGCATGGTATAAATATAGAGCATGATAATAGGCCCTGCTCCAATGAGTTTACAACAAAATTCTTGTTCACCATCAATAGCCACTACATTACACCTGAGTAATCTCCAAATAAAACTAATTTTGCACAGATATAATGAAAGGCATAATTTGAAGGGAGGGGGACTATACAAGTGTCCGAGAGCTACAGAATTATCATTGGTAACACAGGAAGGCAGGGACTCAATTTGACACAGACCCTTAAATGATTTTTTTTCCTCACAAACAATATGTGTTTGAACTGGAAAATACAATGATGAATAAGGTGACATCCTGATATACCTCACCTTTAATCTACCAAGAATACCTATTTGATAATGATTAAAATTGCCACTGTTGCAACACCAGGAACACTTCTTCCAGTCCCATTGCAGCAGACTGACTAGCAAGCAAAAGGCAAATAGAAACCTAATAGCCCTTCTGCAATGTTAGTTAGCTGGTCACGCCAACTGACAGAGGGGATAAATGTCAGGGTAGGCAAATCTAAAGCTTCCCTGAAAATAGACATTTTTATTCTTTGAAGCATCCAGTCACAAGCTAACGCATGGGTATACACAATTAGATATTATTCCTTTCTCTTGCATATCAGTGCATTACCATTTTAATCTGTTCTCTGTATTCCCTGACTATCTTGTCAACTTCCAAGTCACTTAGGAAGCTATACTTTGATTGAGGAGATGCTGAATAGAGGGTATTTTCAATCAATTCTTAAACATTCTGATATGTTCCAGTCCTCCCAGGATGTTCACCGTGCCCTTGTCACATTATAGGGTGGGTATGACCATCAAGCAGTCCCTAGAGAGCTTCTACTCTCCCAAGACAGCCAACTGCCACAAGAAAGACTAATACAGAAGAGTCTTTGCACCATGAATTTCTATTTAAAGAGAAAACAAAGTTGGTTTCAAATTAACACATCCAGATGAGAGCAGTTATCTTCCAAAATGATAGTCCTTTGTTTAGAAGCAAGGCAGGATGTAAGGCAAGATACAGACCTCTAATTGTGTGAGATGCACAGTAGCATGAACTGAGGAGGAGCAACAAGGGCACCAACCCCAGGTGCTGATCTGAGGGGGGGCAGAGGGGTAGTAGCTGCTGTGCCTCTGGCTCAACAACTGCTGCTTCTGTCCAGCTGCAGCTGCTGCCCTGTGCGCCACCTCTGCCCAGGGCACGGTGACAGTCCTTGATGCTTCCAAAGGAACTTACAGAAAATAAGAAACAACTTAGATATTAATTTTGATGAAAAGCAATGATTAATGAATGATCTTGTAACACATCCATTCAGCATTACACACAAGGCTTATTGACATTAGGCATTCTTGAGCATAGGGAGGCAGGCCAGTTAAACCCGGACTGTATCTGGTTGCCTTGGATTCAAGATGTATATGTGGAACTGGAACTGGAACAGGCTGCCCTGAGGACAATGTACATGATAACCAGAGGCAGAGGTCGAATCGCTCACATAGCCTTGCTGAAGGAGACAATGTACTGGAAGGGATGACACTGCTGACCATGATGTGTGATTTTCCCTCCGCTCACAGTTTGTTTTATGATGCCAGATAATATTCTACCTACCCAGTGTGATTGAAAGTACCCTTTACCCTAAGGCCTGAAACACTGAGGTTCTGAATTCTTTTTAAAAGTTTCCAACAAGGGTGAAGCAACATGTCATTTTAAGGCTAACGTGACTTTATGAGTTGAATTTAATCTCTCTCCTGACTTATTTTTTCAGACAGCCCCTCTGTAATTTTTCCTATGGTGGCCACACAAAACTACCAAGTATGACTAATCAGTCAGTGGTATAGTTAACACTTATTTTAAAATAAAATATTTTAAGAGAAGGCTGGGAACAAGAAGAAGGTGGATACTGGAGAGGTATAAAATGCCCAACCAGGCATTAACTAGAATGTTAGCCCTTTAACTCAGAATTACTTTGTGTGTTTGGCTCAAAACAATTCGCGGAGTGAGTTTTACATGGTTTGAAAGTACTGCAAGAGCTACCATGAAATCAAACAAATCAGGCAATACAGTAACCTGAGAGGCAGTTGGAGTGCCAAGGAGTTTTTTGTCCTGGTGCATTCAGCTGAGGAGACACACACAGAATCTTTTCCCACACTTGAGACTGATAAAAGGACAGGGCCTAAGGCCCAAGGCTTTCAGGTCTTCTGTATCAGGCCACCTGGGGAAATCTGCCACGGCTGCACCAGCACATAGCATACTACTAGGATAGACAGGGCTCAGGTGGCTAGCAGCCATATTCTCATGTTATCATCCAGAATTTCTGTAGGCAGGGTTGGACTAATTGATGATTAAGTGCCCATGGGCTATATGCACTGAGCAGTAGAGTTGCATCAACACTCCTCTGAGAGTGGAAGATTTCTAGTCCAGGACATGGCCGCATAAAAACTTTCAAAGCTTTTTCTCCTTTCTCATTCAGAAGAAGAGTTGGACCAACTTCACGCATGATGCAAGACGAGTAAAATGTTACAGTTTTATCTTTTGGTTTTGTATGGTTGTTTCCTGTTGCTACTGGACAAAGTCGTATCTATTCATTAGAAAGACCACCATTGCAAGTATCTTTATATACTTTGTGTTGCATTTGGGAAATAAGCACAAAAAATCATAAGTGGTCTACTATGTATTGTTATTTCAAAAAGGTGAGCAAGACAACTTGTTTTTTTACAAAGCTATTCCAAAACTAGCAAATAGAAACCTAATAGCCCTTATGCAATATCAGCTGGTCAGGCCAACTAAGAGAGGGAATAAATGTTAGGGTATGCAAATCTAAAGCTTCCCTGAAAACATACATCTTTATACATGGATTATTCTTCAAAGCATCCAGTCATAAGCTAACATATAGGTATACACAACTAGATATTATTCAGCCACAGACCACACTATTTTCATAGTCACTAACAGTTTGAGCACCTCAAATGCAAAATTAAAGACAAGATAATGTATTTATTGTACACATATACTTTACTTAGGATGCTGCAGGAGGTTGTAAAACCACAAGTAGAAAAATGTGGGAATGAAATTCTTGGTTTCCATTTGCTTCTCCCCAAAGTACTCACCAGAATAGACATGCTCTCTTTCCTAATTCACAGCAAATAGCAGTACTGCCATGTCATTGCTAGATAGGATAGGATCATAAGTTCATCTTGGCACCTTTCTCAGTTACTTAAATGGCTAAAAACTGTGAAACTAATGAACTGTCCTGCCTTCTGAAAATATTACTGATACTGTAGTGATCAGTGCATGGACAGATGCATAGATCTCCAAATGGTTTTGTTTCCTTAAAAATAATATAAGAGGTTATAAAAAGTGAGACATAGCTAGGATTCATTTTGAAGTGTGTTCTTTTTGGTGTCCACCTAATTTTCATCAAGCAACCAGGAACATTTCAAATCATCAATTTTTGTTCCATATTTTATATTTGGTCATTTTATTATAATTTATGAAAAACAAAATAATTAAACCTCCTGTTAAACTGTAAACTTCTGACTCAGCCTTAACTATGGAATCATGGTCCTAGTATGATAAACATGGACATGTCAACAGCTACTCCTCACTTAACGTTGTAGTTATGTTCTTGAAAAATGTGACTTTAAGCAAGATAACGTTAAGCAAATCCAATTACATCACAGTAGTCACTTACTAGCAGGCAGGGGCCCAACAGCGTTATAACCGAACATTGCACGACTTTAAACGAGTATGTTCTCTGATAGATCAGCAACATAATAAAATTGTCCTAATTTTGCAATTAACAATAGAACTTTTCTAACTGCTAGACTAGCTCTGCACATTCAACCAGGAGAAAGTTAGGGTTAGATTTCTTGGGCTAAGGCACCATTATAAATGATACACTACCTAACAGGCAAAAGTGTACTCTGTTTACATCCCTGTAATCCCACTGTCTCTTCACATCATGACTGATCTATGTACTATGAAGTACCATAGGTAGCTTCAGCTAGAATTTTTCCTGCAATTTAGTTATGAATTCTGTTGACACATGAAGCAGCATCACATCCACTGTCTCCCTATGGGCCATCATACACACCACAAAATTGGTCTTTAAAGTGGCTTAAATTCCCTTGTGCACCACTTTAATGGCATTGCTGTTTGCACAGTTGCTGGCATATTCCACTTTAAATGACTTTGCTATGTAGCAAGATAAAACACCTCCAAGGTGTTTTAGTTTGCTACCTGACGAAGTGCAACAGTGCATGGGACACTGGAAGCCGACGTACTTGGGGACTGGTGGGCCCTGCACAGCTCAGGGACTGTGGGACCCAAAGGCAGCCCATGCAGGCAGGCTCCATTGAAGGGGAAAAAAAAAAAGCAGTGAGCCTGATCTTTTTTTTTTTCCTCCCTGGAGCCTGCCTGCCTGCCTGCCTGAGCTTTGCAGGGACCTCGTTTTTCCCTCCGCAGTTGAAGGGGAGCGGGAAGGGTGGGGGAGCAGTGCTTCTCTCCATGGCTGTGGTGCTCCCCTGGACTGCCTGAACTGGGTTCCAGCAGGCAGGTGCCACCTGGGGGACCCCCGCGCAGCTCAGGGACTGCTCAGCCTGCCGGCAGTTCACCCGCTGCCCCCACCATTGAAGAGATAGGTAAAGATTGAGCCCTCACCCTTGTGTACATGCCACAGGGGTTTAATTCAGTTTAATTCTCCTTAAATTGAAGCGGTGTTTAAAAAAACCCACTGTTTCAATTTAGGGAAAATTAAACCCCCCTGGTGTGTACAAGCAGCTTAAAGCACTAAAAATACTAACTGGAGTTAGCTTACATTATTACACACTTTTGCATCCAGCTAAGAGTAACTTGTATTCCTCCATTCTCCCCAAAATCTCCTTGTGTGCCTCTCTCTCAAACCCCTATTTAAAACATTCACTCCTCCTGGCTCTTTCCCCCTGGCAGCTATGGGTCATTATACACTTCATTCCCCCCTCTCCCCAGTGCTAGGATCCCCAGTTGACTCCCATGCCAGAGATAGACTCTATTTTTTCCCTTGCTCCCAATGACCATATTCTCTTCTCCATGCCAAGGGCTCTATGCCTCAGTTCCCCTTATCTTCATTTTCCATCTATCCCGTTCCTCACATAGCTGTATGTCAGGCAGTCCATGTCTCCTCCATTTCTGCCATTATTTTTTTCTCCTAACTTTCACCAGTGCCAATAGGACTCTGCTTACTGATGCCTAGAACAGTTCCTTGAATTTTGGAATTAGTTCAGTGTGGTATTCAAAACTTATTAACCAAAAAGGAAGGTCATCAACAGGAATAGAAAGAAGCACAAGCTCAGTACAAGGAAGACTGAGAACAGGCTTACTTATCTGTGACTCAAGAACATGCACAAGAACATGCAAGGAGCAGACCTACTGATTTCATTGGAAAACTAAATATGTAAAAAGGACAAGAACTGAATGTTTAAGTCCTCTTTACTGAGGTCTAACAGGCCAGAATTGCCAGGGTGGTAAGGATACATGGTGCATAAGAAATGTAGGTTTGCTGCTCGGGAGGTAGATGTCACCTTTTTTGGTTTCCAATACTTGTTGAGCAGCCATTTAAATATGGATTTTTGGCAACTAAAAAAGAAGTTACTCTCCCCCCAGGTCCTCTGGCTGCTGGCCTCTATTCTCAATTCCAGTCCCCCCACCGCCCCCATGTCCTTAAGCAGTGTTTAGGGTTCATGGCCCACTCACCCACCCAGTATTATGCTTCTACTTCTTCTTTTCAATTCTGAAAGAGAAGCCAAAAATCATTTCCTTTGAAAAAGCAAGCCCGGTGCTGCGTATGACACTCAGAGGCTTGCTTGCTTTTGATTCACCACCTTCATTTTTCAAGTTTCTAAGTTTTTTGCTGCCCTCCTGTAAAATACATAGGTAAGACAGAGCAACAGAACAGTTAAAGCCAATGGCTAGACATTGTCATTTTCTATGCCCAGCTAACCACTGACTTGATCTGTGATCTTGGACAGACCACTTTACCTCTGTTTCTAAGTTGTCTCAAACAGTGAGGCAGAGCTTTTAATTAAATCTTTATATGGTACTTTGAGGTCCAGAGAAAGATTCTAGAGAATCCGTAACCAGAGATATACAGCATATTAATATTTTTCTACTTCAGTATTATGTTCACCCTTGTGATATATTCACTCTTGCAACTACCTTAAAATTCACATAATAGTTAAATATGTAAGCACAATACTTACAAGACGCATAGACATATGGCTCCTGCCACGCTCTCACTTTCTCGTACCAAAAAACAACCATTCTTTCCTTTCTTGGTCAGTAACTCTTCACAGGACTCTTTTGTTATCTTCCCATGATAAAATGGGTACTTTGCATGGTACTCCATGGAAGAGTATCAACAGGGTCCCTTGTCTTTAAAGCAATCCTAGATGAAATCAGCAAGCTGGCATTAAAAGAAGATTTAATCCAAATTCAGTTGTCAAGATGATAACTGCAATTACAATTTCAAGTCTTCACTACATAAATGAATTTATCTGTGTGGGTATTACTAACCAGACTGTACTAGCAGGCTGCTTTCAACAGATCAGATATGTATAATCTACACAGGAAGTGATAAAAATGGTCAATGATTTCACTTGTAGTGGTCCTTAGTTTCCATCACCAAGGAGAACTGCAATTATACCATTAAAAAGAGTTGATATTTCAGTTACTTTTTAGTTTTAGGCCATATGACAGCTAAAATTTAAGTAAAAGCAACAAGTGCATCAGTGCCTATATATCCAACAGTTTTTATTTAAAGCTTGTATTTCTCATTATTTATAACCTTGCCCAAATTTAACTATCTGGACTGAAATATTCCATATGAGCTATATGCCTCAAGATGCCTTCCCACCCCTCCACATGGGAAAAATGCAGCTGTTTCTGGAAAATGAGATTACACCCCTGTAACTAAATTGAAACTAAGGCATTTTAATCATGTTAAAAAAATTACAAAACGTTTTCTAAAGTAGCTCTATTGCCCCTGTACTTTGGAGTATGGTACCAGATTGACATTTGATGGGGGTGAAAGGTTATCCTGGTGTCAATGCTGTACTTTATGCTCTCATGAAAATCCACTCAAGTTAGAACCATTTAAAATGTTGCAGTTTGCACATATGTCTTGCCTTTAATGAGAATTGTCCAGGTCAGGTCTGCTGGGGCAGACCAAAGCTTCTGGAATTGCTTTTGCTTGTCAATGGGGCCTCAAGCAGCAGAGCTTTATGAGACTGTGTCTCCTGGGATCACAATAATTTCCTCAGGCATCATGGGGAGGAAGTAATTTACCCTGAATGCAGAGAGGAACCAATTTGAGAGATTCCTCCTGGGAAGGATAGCTTGAGGCAAGAAGCTAAGCTAAGGTGTCTGTTGAGGTGGGGAAGGGGTGTGAGACTGAGTCAGATAGATAGTAGGGCTGTGCAAAATTTCTCCGGCTGTTTGGTTTTGACGCTGGTTCAACTTGTTTCGAGCTCGAAACAGTGAAATTGAAATGAAAGGCTTCAAAACAGCCTCGAAAGGAAATGAGGGCAGTCAAAATGTTTCAAAATTTTTGAAACATTGTGAATTTCAAAGCTGGGCTTGCTTGCAGCTAAAGAGAAATTAAGGAGAGGGAGGGGGAAGAGGGGGCAAGGACTGCTCTCATATTGACTGTGTAGCTGGCCAGTGACTGTGATCCTTCCCTGAGGTCCCTTCCCATCCCAGTGCTCTGGGGAAGGGATGGAAAAAGAGCATAAAAAGCATTCTTTGAACTGAGCTGCCTCTGTGCCTTCACACTTACAAGTGACACAAGTTTTGCTCTGAACAGTTTGAGGTGCAGTTTCCCAGAAACCCCTGCACTTATCTCCTTGAAACTTGGCAGGATTCATGGCCTCAGCAGCAGATAGCATGCTTGCAGTTTTCACCCTGTTGCACCTTAACAGACAGACAGACAGACAGACACACACACACACACACAATGTCACCTATGTCATGTGTTTTGCTTGTCTACAGCCTGAGGTGCAGTTTCCCAGAAAGCCCTATACCTATCTCCTTGAAAGCTGGCAGTCTTTATGGCCTCAGCAGGGGCTACCATCCCTGCAGTTTTCACCCCCCTGTACCTTAACACACACACGTGACATGAGTTTTGCTTTCAAGACTTTGAGGTGCAGTTTCCCAGAAACCCCTGCACCTATTTCCTTGAAACTTGACAGGCTTTGTGGCCTCAGCAGGGGCTACCATCCCACAAGTTGCATCTGAATCAGGCAAGAAATAACAAAGTTATAGGCAGTTTCATGCTTCCCAATTATAGCCTATGGGCAAAATTTTGAAAACGTTGAAACAGTTTCGAAGAAATGAAGCAGAACAGTGCTTTCAAAATGAAATGAAACTCAAAATGAAACACTGTCCCATCAAAATGGTGAAATTGGAAATTGAAATGAAGTGGTGCTGTTTTGCACAGCCCTATAGGTAGTCATCCATTAGGAAGAAAGGGCAAAGATGCTGGACTACAGAGGCAGCAGGGGAAGGAGGGGGAACAGAACCTGTATACTCTGCTTTGGGGCCTGGAGTGGAACCCAGGATTCCAGGGTCTCACCTTTCATCTGCTGTCAAAAAAAGTATCTGCCATGTCTACTGCTGATGTCTTTGTCTGATCCCCACCTAATGCTACTCCGCTTGAAAAGGATGACTGCTCACTATTGCTTTCAGTTTCTCCATTAACACCAGTGGCAGAGGTCTGGGCTACACTTTAGAGATGCTAACTTGGCATCAAAGGGATGCCAAATGATCGAATTTGTTTTTTTCCCCACTTATAAAATACCTAGGAAATTGCATTAAATTACACACACACACACACACACACACACACACACGTACACATACACATATACACTCTGTACTAACACACTGCTATTAATTGACTCCCTTTGTGCATATGCATGTTGATATAGCCCTTAATTACACACTTACATACAATTTTTCCTACAACATCTACTCATGCACAAACACCCCAGAAAAACACAGGAAGGAATTAATAATTTAATATTCAGAAGAGGACAGCATAGTGAAGTGAAAGAAATATTGAGCAGCTGCTCATTCAAAGAGAACACCTCCTTGAACACTGAATGATAGAGGTCCTGTGGAAATAAAAATGATCACATAATTAAAGGCTGTGCAAAGGGGGTGATTTAAAGTTGCACAAACAACCTTTATTTAGGCATTTCCTATCCTGATGACTTGACTTAATTTTGGTTCTGTTGTGTAGAAAGAGAAAGTTTATTAATGTTGCTCTTTAGAAATAAAACATATGCCATGCTACCAAGTTGTCCACATGGCATCTTAATAAAGTAGAAGACCAAGATTAGATCAAGATAGAAAGTGGGCATGCATGTCTGTTTGACTTTTAAGACCATTAGGAAACAAGCATAAAAGCAGCCCTGGGAAGTAACCTTTATAAAGTACTCAAGGGGAAACTGAGACTTGGTTTTTAGCACCTACAAAGCCAAACCCCCAAAAATGGAGAAGGAAAAAAGTGTGGGGAGGGGGCAGGAAAATCAAGCTACATCCTGACCCATGTTCTGCAGACCGCGAGGTAGTATTCTTTTTGTTTATGAATAAATTATGCATAACATTTCCCTCCACACGTAAAGAGCCCATTTTTTCCTGATCAAAAAATCAACTGAAGTTTCCATGAGTGAATAAATGCAATATGAGTTCAGCTCATATGCCAGCTCTGAAATAAAATAGATGCCTCACACTGCTGCCTCCTTTGAGCAGATTGTTTCCTCTGCGTTTAAACAACCCACATGTAGGAAAGAGAACAATGCAGCTCTCCTTTCACTTACACAGTTGCACAGTAGACAGGTTGTGAGGGCTAGTGTTACATCAGGTTCTGGTTTATGATAACAAGTTACTCTCTCTGATGTATTCATTTTAATGGACATGAGGAAAGGAACAATAAAGCAACAGCTTCTTAGCAAAACAAGAGCTCTGTGTTGGCCATCGTGGATGCAGCCTTGCTGGAATAACAACAAACTGGGCTTCCCAACAGGAGTGATGGGCAGAGTCTCCCACCAGACTAAGTCTTCTTACTCATTCCTAATTCCTAATCATATTCCTAGTTTCTCATTCGCAATCTCAAATTCATTATTCATCCCCTGGCTGAAGTTTGACTGTTCAAGAGATTACTCTTCTAAAATAGAGAACGCACCCTATTTTGCTTCACTGAACTGCATAAAAGCTCTTTAGGCAGAATAAATCACTGCAGGTATGTTGCTTTCAGTGACACTATAATGGGTTTTATACCAGGCAAGAAAACTAAGACACGGCTGTCCTAAACTAAAAGCAATTTATCGAACCCTAACAGATACAACTCTAATTAGCATCGAAGCATTGAAGCAGTATTTGCAGTTAATATTTAGAACTGTAGCTAGTCAAAGCAAATGGTCACCACCCCGTAATATCATGAATGCAACTTCACTGGTTGATCAAGCCATGAAGTCTTGTCCATAAAGATCAGGTCATGAAGTCTAGCTCTTGCATCTAATCTTTTTATTCTTAGGTGGGGAATTCTTTTTATTCTTAGGTGTTGCTTTGACTGTTCCTCTTTTGCCCGGGCTATATTTATTCAATTTAGTTAGTCAACTTCCCAATTCATTTTAAATCAGGAACAGGACTTCTCCATCTGCTTCTTTTACCGGGTGCATGTCTTGACCACAATTCCAGCTAAGAGTGCAGCTTAAGCTAAACGTAAAGATCAAAACCCAGACCTGAAGACCTCTGGGTTCCAACAGGTATGAAGGATGAAGTGTATGAAGTGATAAGAGATTTCACCAAGTCATGCATCTCTGTAATCTAAAAACCATTCTGGAGAGGAAAGGATCTTCTAGAAATTAGGAAGCTTTGTTGATCACCAGACACTAGGGGTGCACAAACGGTCTGTATTCAATTTGGATTTGGATTCGGCCCGAATCGGGGACAATGATTCGATTTGTTGATTCAGATCACTGTCCTGCTTTGATTCAGCCGAATGCGAATCTGAAGATTCAATGCTGATTCAGAGTATCAGTGATTTGGACACAGACGCAGGTTTAAATGTTTTTTCTATATACCTCGAGGTACAGGTGTAGCTCATGAATGCTGTGATGCTGGGGCGGATGGAGCGTCCCACAGGAGTGTGGGGGGCACCCCCCCATATACTCAGTGGCGAACCCGGAAGTGGACCAGAAGTACTTTCACTCCACTTCTTGGTCTGCTGCCAAATACGCAGGGGACCTCCCCTGCAGCCCTCAGGCTTGGCAATTGGCCATGGGGGAACCCCCAGTGCCCCCGCCCCCCGAGACCCAGGAGGCACCAGCTGCCGAGCTAGGGGTC